CTTCTCGAATATGAAATCTTTAAAAGTACCAACAAAACTAAGTTGAACCCTTACATTCTCAAAAAAATCGTTTCAATGCTGACCTATACTAATAGTTTCTTCAGCCATAATACTGTGGATTTTTGTTGTAGCTTTAATTAGTGTATACTTGAACAAAATTTCAGATTGAATTATAGTATCGTGCATTACAAATTATGAAATGCGAAAATATGGCCGAACTTAGCACTATATTAAGGTTGTAGCAAACTTGAATTATGCTATGGTTCAAAATGCTCTAAAAGTTATTAATTGAACTTATTTAACTTGAAAAATGTTTCACATTGAATTATAGTATCGTAAATTTAAAATTAAAAAGTAAACAATAATATGGTCAAAATTAGCACCATGTTACGGATGCAACAAACTTAAAACGCTGTCATGGTTCAGCAAACTCCAAAACTAATTAGCTGAACTTTATTTAACCTGAACCATACTTCAGATAGAATTATAGTATCGTGTAATCAATATTAAGATGTAAGATAATAAGGTTCGCTTAAGCACCATATTAAGGTTGGCATACGATATTAAGGTTAAATATACTCCAAAATTTTTAACAGTGCAGTGGAACTTTAAGAATGTTTAAAAATTTGAATCCGAAAATATTAAGAACCGACAGGGAAAAACTTCACACTAAAGGATAGTAATACTTTTTTTAAAAAAGAAAATATGTCAGATAATACAAAAAGCCGGCAACAACTGTTGTTTCTTTTATGAAACAATGGAATTTGAAACGAATTTCAAAAGAGCATGAAAACAAAATAAGAAATTCTCATTATTCGAGAATATCTCAAAGATATCTTTTAAAGAATTCACGGAATCCAGTAAAGAAAGTTATATCTTGAATACTAATGCTTGAGAATTAGCAGCACGAAATACAAATAATTGTGTAATGAACGTTGTGTAAAACAACTCGACTAACACAACAAAAGTATTAGAATCAATATTGTTGTTGAAAAAAATGAATCAAGCAATCTCTTTTCTGAGAGATTTTCTTCATCAAATATCGATACTGATAACAATTAAAAGAACAAGTAAAATTTTAATAAAAAGTGTTTTAATGTGAGGTTGTTTGAAGAAAAGAACAAGTGGAAAACATTGTTTCAGAGGTACTTTAGAATTATTATAAACGCTTTCTTCAGATTAATGGAAAGAGAATTCTCATATGGGAAAACTGTAATTAGCTGCTCTGAAAATCGGCCAAATTGACGCGCCATCTATATTATGTTCTAGAATATCGAAAGCATTTGGAGAAAAATTTGCGTGATGGGGAAAAAAATGATTTGAACATTTTTGAGTCACTTTTGAAAGAAATAATTAGCTAGACTATTAATTTTCTGGGGCTGAAAAGAGAAATATGCAAATAGAGTCAATTGAAAGAATCAGAAATTTTAGCGATCGAATACGAAATAGAAATTAGGTATTTTAAAAATTAATTTACTTGGAAACAAACTCACGGTTTTATTATAATTTTCTAGTGCTAACAATTTTATACAATTTTTTTTTAGATATTTAAAAACGATTTTCAGACTCAGTAGTTTTCCAGAGATTTAGGTTTTTAAATAAAACAAAAATATAAACAACTTCATAAATGAAATTTAAACTACGCTTTTCAAATTTTATTTTCGGTAAATTAAAAACAAAACTATTGCTTTTTTGTTGTTGTTAAAATATAGCTATATGTAAAGATATTATTATGAAGATAGGTTTTTATAAACAGAATGATGTTGATTATAAACAAAGTTTTAAGCTTATAATTTCTTCCAAGAATGAGATATTTTAGCTAAGCAATGCTAAATGACATTTAAATATATGCAGTTTTCTTAGAAGAAAAACTAACGATTTTATATGAATTTCTTGATATTTAAAAATTCATAATATAGCTTTTGATCATAATTTTTGAGAACTTAAAAATATTGTTTCTTTTTTTCGTTGAAATAAGGCTGCATGTATCCACATTGCAATTTTTATGAAAATGTTATGAAAATTTTTACACATTATTATAAAATTTACTTATACAAAAATATTTCCATGCAAAAAATAACTTTTACAAATTTTTATCATTTTTTAGTATTTTATTTAATACTAGTCGAAAAATTTTGAATTGCAAGGGATGCAATTTTTTGCTTAATTTTAAAGAATGTAATTTTACATGTCAAAATGCAAAATTTGAGTAAAATCAGTCGAATAGTTTCTGAGAAATGGAATTTTCAAAATATGACTATATTACACGAAAGTCCCTCAGGGTTTTTTCTTTTGCACACCGAACATCATTACGAAATTATTAAACTCCAGACTTATGTTAGATTAACTTTTGAAACAAGCCAGACACCAATAAAATTATTTTGGTATCAGAAGTAAGAAAAGGTTGAAATTTATGAAGAGCATTCAGAATGACAATTTGATTTATTTAGTTAATATTTACTTGTTGAGTGAACAATTTATTATAATTTTAAGATATATTTAGTTTTCGTTACACGAAGGAATACAATTTATTGAAACTCCAGAGACTTCAGTTTTAAATAATGGAAAAAATGCGATTTTTACTTAGAAATAGTATGTTTTTTATGCCAAATTCTTGATTTTTCGCCAAACTGAGTTATTTCATTATTTTAAATAAAAACCAATAAAACTTCTAAATGGTATGCTCTGTTTTTCTCAATGTTATAAATCAAAACGTTTGTATTTGAAAGAACTTTCCTGTAGAATGATATTTCATGATCAAAAGTTTGCTAAAGACAATTTGGAGATAAAATAACCAAAACTTTCAGGGCTTTTTTTTTCATATCTTAAACCACTTTTTTTAAAACAAGTATCAACAAATTTTACAATAAATTCTTGTTTGTTTACTTGTTATGATAATTTTTTACCTAGTACTTTTATCTTTAATTAGGGTTTTAAAAATAATGTGATAATTTTTTCTCAAAAAATATTCTTAAACGAAAAATGAAATACTTAGAAGGCTCATATAACTTGCGCAATTTACATGTGCAAGTATGTGCAATTTACATTTTTATGTAATTGAATACTCATAATATAAAAAATATGCACAAAACAATAGTAAAATATTCAATGCAAAAATATCATAACATGTCAAAAACAATTATTTCTTGTTAGTATTTTCAAAAACAGTTAATTTCCCCGTATAATTAAACCATAGTATTTGTGGATGCATGCAATTAGTGATAATTTAATGCTGTCTCTCGTCGTTTTTTTTTTCTTTTTCTTTCAAATAAAATGCTATTTTCATAATTGCTGTTATTCAAGACTGCGTTCAGCGCTCTCTAAGATAATAGCGCATAACGTCAACATAAATAAAAACCACAGCTCTGAGAAAATGAAAAGCATTTTTGATCTATTTTTTAAATATTTAAAAAGCTATTTCAACGATGCTTTTATCTAGGGTCAAGTTTCAAAAATTGAGAACTTATCATTGATTTATTTAACTATCATCTCGCCAGATTGGCGATATTTGAAAAAAATTTACTAACTTCTGAAATATTTGTTCGTTCTGTAGTCAAGATAATTATTAACGGCAAGATGGTGTATGTAGTTTAAAATTACAGCTTTGCCTCAAGTGTAAGGCATTTAAATTGTGTTTTTTTTTTATTCTTAGGCGAAAAAATACTGTTATTATATTAACAACTAGATGTCCTGCACCACTTGACTCAAGTTTCTTTTTATTTATTATTAAAAAAAAGAAAAGATAACTATTTGAACTACGATTTCAAGCTAGACAGTGTCGTCAAAATAATAAATTAAAACAGTAAAAGTTTTTGTTTTCTTTTCCTTAGTTTATTAGCTAGATAAATGAATCACTTGAAAACATTTGATAATTATTGTTTCAAGGCCAGATGCAAAAACAAATCACTGTCATGTATTCAACGCATTCAGAAAGAAAAAAACGCTACGGAATTAAAAACAGGTCCTACCCTCATCAAAAAACGAACTGGTTTCTAAAGAATTATTATGTTATCATACACGCATGCGTACGTTTAATGAACTATACTTTTAAAAAATTATTAAAAAAAAAATCACCAGCGGAAGGAAGAGAAAAATTAATTCATAAAAATAAAATAAAATTGTGCTTGCGTTATTTTAATGAGGTATTTTTTTCTTATTTTCATTTTATTTTATTTTATGAAAATGGTTTTTTAAACTTAAATAATACCCTACAAACTATACAATTTGCGAAGAAATTTGTGTAACTGGGTATGTTGAGAAACAGTGAAAGAATAGTAAATTTATGATTAAATGTAGCAGATATTTCTTCGTTTTTTTTTAACTTAAGATTTTAATTTATTTAGAGTGAGTATTAACATGCCCTCATTTATAAATGTGAATTTAATGCATTTAAATTTTGTTAACCCGTGAATATAATTTAAAATTTAATTTAATTTTATTGAGATTGATCATTCTCAAATCCGCACTTTCAAATTTGAACTTAAAACGCGTAGAATTACTGAATATGTTAAGTTTTAATTTCGAATTTAAGTTTAATTTCAACTATTTAGAATGAATGTTAATTCTCTCTTCCAACCTATTTGTCAGCCGTATACACTTAAAAAGTGGTGTTAAAATGATTTTCACTCATTTTAATTTCAAGTCACTTTTTAGCTCTAACTATTGACATAGCGTTAGAACTACATTAAATTTAAGATATATATTTAGATTTAAAATCTTAACTTAAACATAGTTAAGAATAAAATGTTAAGTAAAACAGGAAAATTTTGCCAAGTTTTATCATAAATGTAATTTTCACTAGTATTAGGGCTCTCGAAAATAGAAAAAAATATTTAAATTCGCTGTCGTACGTTAAAAACTGAACTGACTCCCCTTACAAACTTAAAATCTGAATTAGCGAAGCAAAGATATAATATGCATTTTTGTTCTTTTAAATTAGTCGGCATGTATAAAACATAAGATATGTATTGTATGCATCGTAGAGTAATTGGAAATTCTGCTTCTTTGTAAGGTTTATTATAGTGAGCCTTATAAAGTGACATCAACTGTTTGCAAAGACCCTGATTTTCCAATTAGTCTTTCACATAATATACATATTTTAAACAATAAAAAGCAATATTTTTTTTTGAAATAGTAGTCTTCACAAAGAGATTCTTCCACATGTATTAACAATTTTTATTTTAGAATGTTCTAATACTTTAATCATAAATTTTTTTATTTGCATATTTCGGAAATAACACAAATCTTGATGAAATTTCTACTTTTAGTGGACTAAAATATTTTTCATATCTTCAAAGCCATTGCAAAGTTCCAAAAATGTTAAGTTTTTTTTTTAAAAAATTCATTTAAAATCTTCTTTCAATGTATATTTCGCAGTTCGTCTGTTTTGTGACAGTTGTACATAAATTTTGAAGAGGGTTGTGCTTATAAGTATTATTTATCACGTTTAAAATAAGTCAGTATTCATATCATTCACATTTTGTTTCTTCTTCCTCTTTTTCTAATGATAGAAAATTCTTCCATTCATCAAAAGATACAATAAACCTAAAAAGAAAATGAAAAATTTAACAAATGAGGGATACGAAAAATTAAATACATACAATACAGCAATTACTGATATTTAGAAATATATTTTGATTTCAAATGACGTATTAATATCATAATTCGTGAAATGGGAGCTTAGTTTTATTTATTTTTTATGGCATAAGTTATTTCTCAACATTTTATACAAATATCGCGTAATTTTGTACAAGATAAAGAATCTAATCTTGACTCAACGAATTAAATCAAACTCGCTAATTTTGAGGGAAACTAGCTTGCGTTACATGACGTACGAAAATCTTCCACGTTTGACACGGCAGTAGTGAAAATCAAATACTTAATTATCTATCCGTGGTAATACAGAGTATTCTGCAATGATCACCCTTAATACATATTTTTAGAATCCTCGTAAAAATTGAAGTAAAAAAAATACTAGACATAATCGGGGTCTCAAATTAACATTTATGCAAAGAAAAACAAAACTCTATCGTTAATGTTATTGGAGTGACTGAGCATTAAAGTGTTTATTGTCGGAGATGTTGAAAGTCAATTATTAAAAACACCTTCGAGTTTCAGTAGGAAATAAAACTGGTTTTGCTCTTCATTTCACCTTCCTCAATAACACTGTATAAAAGGGTTTTATATATACAACGTTAAAATTGAGCAAAAATATGTCAAAATAGCTTCGAAAAAAGATTAGTCGAATTTGAAACAATTATTGATCAAAATTGAAACAGCATATACTCATTTTAGAGCAAAATGCATAGTGCTGTGAAGGGATAAATGTTTGAGAGAAATATTCGTTTGTAACGGGCAGGACTTGAACCAAGGTCCTCCGGGTTCGTAGTAGGACGCTCTAACCACCATAGTTATATACGCAAATCGAGAATGAGTCAGGAAGCTTTATAGAGTGGTCGTCGTAAATTGGATAATGACATATTAATCACAATTTCAATAGTACAAAGGGTTGCAAAATTATGGTCTCAATAGCTTTGTCAGGAGACTTGTTCACTTTTTGCTTATTTCGCTACACCTCAAAACTTTGAAGAGAATGGAATGCGTCATTAATTCTGTCTGGACTGTAGTGTACAGCTATGGTGGTTAGAGCATCCTTTTGTGCGAACCCTGGGTTTGATTCCAGCCGGCAGCCAACGAACATCTATACCACACGTTTCTCTCTATATATCAATTTTGAGACTATGCATTGTTTAATAGAGACTGTGCATTGTTTAAAATTCGACGAATATTTGTTTTGGAACTATTTTGACACATTTTTGATCAATTTTGTGCAACCCTTTTATACAGTGAATGATTCAACAGAACTCAATAGCGTTTTTGTTTATTTTATATTCAAATATTAATTTGCGATGCATAATTTGCGGACCAAATTTTAAACTAAAATTCTAGAAACATACATTTAGGGAACTGTTTACGGAATAAGCAATATAAGCAACGTAAACAGCTTAGTTACGTCGAAATTCATAAAATCAACCGCCAATGGCAGGATTCTAACCTAACAAACAACTACGCCAGAAGCGAATCTAGTCTCGAAAAGTACAAGAACTTTTTGTACTAGTACTAGACAATGTCTCATATTTTGATATTTACATCACCCATTCCACTGCATTAAAATTTTAGTATAAAGAATTGCTAAACAGAAAGCGTATGGTTGCCAATATCTCAATTTTAAGCAATTAAGATATACCAATAAAGTTATACCAATTTTTATTATTTACGAAGTTAAAAAAATAACAATTTGAATTTGTAGTACAATTTGCACATGGAAGAATAATTTTTTTTTTTTGATATTGCATTCTTTATTAGATTCTTCAGTAAATTAGTTTACATATCTATATCTACAGTAAATTAGCAGTTTAGTAAAGGAATAAAAAAATGTCAACATACCGATCAAAACAAGAGCAAGGTTTTCGTCTGATTAGTCAAGTTAGTTGTTTTAAATGTTTTGATTAGTTAGTAAACAAAATGCAACCTACCGATGTAGAGACATTGGCAACCATGAGTGAATGTACAAAATTAAAAAAAGTTAATATATCAATTAAATAAAAAAAATTGAATTTAAAAAAGATCTGAGACAGGTTAGGTTTAAAATACGAGAACCACTTGCCTTTTTGTTGAAGAAAGTAAACCGACTACATTGATTACATAAATAATTCCCAAAATAAGCATGTGAAATCTTTGCTGTCTTGGCTATGGTCTTCGAGAAATTTGTCATGAAAGTTTTCATATAATTAGAGAAATTTTTTTTTTAGCTCGAACTAATTAGTTTCAAACTTTTTGGACAGTTTATATGTAAACTTAATTTGAACAATAGTACACAATAATTTCAGTTTGTGACATTTAATTTCTCAAGAAAGACTTCTAATCAATCTGAAAAGAATGCTATAGCTGTGATTTTTGTCTAGATATCTAGAATACTATTAGAAAAATGTTGATAACATTTAGTCTAGAACACTAATGGGAAACCACTGTTTTGAAATACTAGCAGAAGTAATATTGAGAATTCACTGGTCTAGAATGCGAGTGAATTAAATGTTATTTTATTTTACCGTTTTGATGCAGTTACTATTATGAACTAATGGGAAACCATTGGTTTGAAATACTAGCAGAAGTAATATTGAGAATTTACTGGCCTAGAATGCGAGTAAATTAAATGTTATTTTATTTTACCGTTTTGATGCAGTTATTATTATGAACTAATGGGAAACCATTGGTTTCAAATACTAGCAGAAGTAATATTGAGAATTTACTGGTCTAGAATGCGAATAAATTAAATGTTATTTTATTTTACCGTTTTGATGCAGTTACTATTATGAACTAATGGGAAACCATTGGTTTGAAATACTGGCAGAAGTAATATTGAGAATCCACTGGTCTAGAATGCGAGTAAATTAAATGTTATTTTATTTTCCAGATTTGATGCAGTTACTGTTATGAAGTTAATTACTGTTTGGTACTATTGTAGTTTTATACTGTAGTCTCATGCATCTTTAATGAATAAGAGCTAACAAAATGTAATCAAGAACTTTTTTTTAAATGAATTATAGTAGAAACATTTTAGGAACCACAGATCTAGACCATTAGTAAACTACCACTGGTCAAGAATGCTAATAGAAAAGTGGTTTGGAATCACAGGTCTAGAATACCAGTAAAAAAATATCGGTAACCTCCGGTCTTTCAGAATACCAGTTGAAAATAAAAAAGTTGAGAGCCACTAGTGTAGAAAACTAGTAGAAAAAAGTTTGAAACCATGTCTGAAAAACATACGTGAAAGAGTTTTAACATCTGATATCATTTTATAAATATGTGTAAAATATTTTTTTGTCCTTATTATTCTTTCTCACATTTTTATAAATGATAAGTCTGTCTCAAATCTTTTAATTATGTTTGAGATTTTAAATAAAAATAGAGTACTTACTTGTTTCCATTAGTGAGAGTCACATCCTTTATTCGTTAGCAGCGAATAATAATCGCATTATTTGTAGAATTCTAGATAAGACAATTATCTCCAATATCTATTCATATATAGATATTTAATTATTTCAGGAATGGAAGCAAACTAAATAGAATCTAGATAGTCAAAAAAATAAAAATAAAACGTAGTATGCATTTCGCTAAAAAAAGACACTAATTATTATTATTGCTGAAAGTCGAAAAGGATTATAATTCAATTAAATTGTTAAAAACTCTTGATTGTTGAACATAATTAATTCTCACTCATTTCATATACCGAAAAAAAACGCATATTAATTTGAAGAGCAAAGGTTAAAAATAATTTTAAAAAATTGTTCTTACTTACTTTTGAGTTCTTTGGTATTTTTCGATCAAAAGATTGTTTTTTTTTCTACAACAAATAAATCGATTTGCTTTCAAATCACATTAAGAGCTTTCAATGGGATATAAAAACTATTTTATTTATTCTAGGAAATTGTTTTTATAGGGAACGTGAATTCATTAAATTTTATGAAAGATTTCTGATACAGCTAAATAAATTGTAAATAGAAGTGTAGAGTATGTAAATAAGAGAAATAAATTTAAAAAGTCCCTCTGCTTTTCTCGCGGGACCGAATACATCAGTAAAAGGTTTATTTCTGAATGTAAATTTTTAACGATAATAGGAAGAGTAAATATAAACATTGAAATAAAGAGTATAAACATTAAATCAATTTTTAAATCTGTTCAATGAAGTTATTTTCTCAAATAAAAGATAAATGAATTGATGAAATTTTCACAAGCAAATTCCAAAATATTAAAAAACCGGCATTAAATATTTTTTAGTTATGAAAAAAAGAAGGTTTTAGAATAAAACTTTGCATAGGCAACATATTTTACGACTTGCGTAAACGAAATACAGTCTATTTTTATTATTATTTCACTTAGTCTATTTTATTTCTATTATTATTTCACACAGTCTATTTTTATTATTATTTCGCATGGTTTAAAGTACTGATATTTAGCGATAATCTCCAATATCAGTACTTTAAACCATGAAATGGTGCAAATTTATTGCAACTTTAATGTGCTAAATTGAACGATGTTTCTGTTCAAAGTATCAAGGCTCCATGATAGTATCGTGTGATCAAAATAAGAAGAACGATAATACGTCTCAACAAGTTCCAAAACAGAACATCTGAAACAGTGCAAATTTATTGCAACTTTAATGTGCTAAATTGAACGATGTTTCTGTTCAAAGTATCAAGGCTCCATGATAGTATCGTGTGATCAAAATAAGAAGAACGATAATACGTCTCAACAAGTTCCAAAACAGAACATCTGAAACAGTGCAAATTCATTGTCACTTTAATGTGTTAAATTGGACGATGTTTTTGTTCAAAGTATCAAGGCTCCATCACAGTATCGTGTGATAAAAATAAGAAGAACGATAATACGTCTCAACAAGTTCCAAAACTGTGAAGTGGAATTAACTAAAGTTTAATAATTTGAATCCTAAAAATAAGAATACTGAACGGGAATTAAAACCGACAGGGATATTAAACCATAATATGGTTTAATTAGGAGTTAAAAAGAACTATGTTTCGATTTAAGTTCAACTATAGCATTGTGCAATCAAGTCCACAAAGTATGATAATATGGCTCACTTTAGCCCTACAGTAAGGTTACAGTCAATTTTTACGATTTATTTGTATATTTGAATACACTTAGAAGAAATTTATAACGGTGTATTGGTTTATCAAATAAAATCATTGGTTTATCATTAGTTTTTCTATTTAAAAAAATTAGTATTAAATATTTGATAATAAAAAATAATAATTGATATATTTCAATCAAAAATATCTTATTTTAAATTAAGTTTGTTCAAATACCTTCAGTACAGAAAAAGCATGTAAATAATTTGAAAATGCTAAAGTTAAACTATTTAATCCATTAATAAACAGGCTAACAATATGAAATATATATTATTATATATGAAACCATATATGTGATATCGCGTTGTCCAAATAATAATTTCTCAGAGCCCTAGCTCCTACAAAAAGAACGTCTTTATTTCAGAGCCACTTCGTGCGAACTCTTACATATCTTTATTTACAACATCTACACTTGATCACAGCGCCATCACAACATGGAGGCATGACAATAGATAAAAAATTTGCACATGTGTGAAAAAAGGACATTTTTGTTTAAATCAAGCAGGTATTTCTTTCTTATTTGTACCAGACAACGAAAAGAATTCTGGTAAAATTACTGTACTGTTTAGTAATAACATTTCTGGTAAAAAAAAGTTACTGGTTAATAAAACCAAGATATACAGTATTTAAACCATTCGTTTGGTAATTTTTCCGTTCATATGGTAAAGGTTTACCAGAAATTCTAGTTTTCAAAATTATCGTTCTTATTGCCACACATTTAGTAAAAAATACTTAACTAAAAAGTAAATATAATCGAAGAAATGTTTTACATGCCATGCTCTAAGGTCCCGTGGTAAAATTACGAAATTTTATCACATTTAATCACATAAATACAAAAACATATTTTATTGTTAACTTTACTGAAATCATTACCAAAGCGATTTGGTAAAAATTACCAAGCTTTTTGGTGTTCTCATAGAGCAAGAAACATGCTAGATTTTATCATATTCCGGCTGTCTTGGCTATTGGTGCACTAAACACTATGTTATGACTTTGAATCCAAATATCAATATAAACCAAATTCTATTATGTTAGTTTCTATAGTGTCTATTATGCCTTATTTCTGTAAAATAAATCCTAATTAAGAAACAGCTAAGCTACCACATTTTTGTCTTTAAAAAAATAAAATAAAAAAAGAAAGAACCGACCTTTGAAAAGTGGGCTAAAAGCAAATGGGTTAAGATTTCTTTCCAAAAATGAAAAGACATATTTGATGTATTTGAAAATTTTTTTCTCAGAAATTTTCTGAAATATGTTTGAAAAAGAATGTCGAAATGGAATGCCGATATTCGAACTGTGAAGCTTCTTTGATCAAAACACGCAAGTAATATCCAAGTAAAGAAATCTGGCCTGTTTCTGTCCCAAATATCGATTTATATGCTTCAAATTGTTATTTTTATCTCTTAAAATATGTGTCTGGTCGGAAAGATTCACCAGACTGAGGAATAACAGAACTGTAAAATAATCCCATTTCATGTATTCCTAACTCGTTTTTCGTAGTAAAGGCTTAGTCCATGTATGTAAGCTGCAAGCAAACTATTATTATAAGCAATAAATATCGTCTGCTTTGAAAGTATGCTTAAAGAAATGCTCCAAATCTTGTAAATTAAATTAAATTAATAACATAATCCATACAGTAAAGACGCAAGGAAGATTTGAAATCTTTAAAAGGAATTTTTCTAATTTTAATACCATTTTTCCCATGGCCCATAAGAAGGAACAAAACAGAATTACACGGAAGATTTATTGCAAAAGATGCAATAATATTTCAGTTAATTCTTAAATAAGAACCAACAGAATTGTGACATATTTCATACCGTTGGATAAGTTTTCGTAATCCAGTATCATAGAATGGAGCTAGTGTGTCACATCTGTTTGCACATCTTTGTCTGTGGGAAATTGATGCTGGATGGAAATTTGTTCCGATGCAAGACAGGTGAAAGTTGCTGAGAGCAAAATCACGGCTATAGCGTAAATGATCGAACATCTATCTCCTAGCGAAACCTGATTTTTTGCGGAAATCACCGTAAGCGTGAGAGAATTGCTGTGAAACAACACGACACCAGTACTAAGGACCCCCACATCTTTTTTTTCCTCTTCATTTTATAAATGACGTTAAACAGCAGAATTATATTTCGTTTACGGTTCTCAATGCTTAACTCCGTAGTCTTGTAATTTTGAACACCACCTAGAAGACAATGAAATTCTTGGATCAAACATTGGGACAAACTAGCCTTTGTGGAGGACTTTCTGACAGTCCACATTTGCGTTCCATGGAGAGAACTCCACAAACCTCCAACTGTTAACTCGAAGGAAAGGAGATTCGACCACAGAGGATATTTTACGATAGCAGAATTCCAGGGTTGCCACAGCAAAAGAGGAACAAAAATAGTTGCTTTTAGTAGCCTCAAGAAGGAAAATATTTGCCTAAAACTACGAAAATAGTTGACTGAACAAGGTCAAAAATTTATCAAAAATAGCAGCCAAATAACTAAAATTATAGCTTATTTTCATATACTAACTATGATTAGGACTGGGTGATGTCAGAAATTTTAAATCGTGATACATAGCGATACATTTGTTTAGCATATGTTCAAAAATTGAGCATATGCAATTTAGTATATGTTCAAAAATTGTCTATGGCAAATCTTTAAATCAATCAAAAATAAATAAAAAGAAATTAATCTATTACAAAAGAAAATACTAATTCTAAACATATTCCACTATGATATCAATATCATTGCTTAATATTTTCAATTAAGATAATAAAGAAGTCAAAGTTAAAGCAAACCCAAGTTTTATTTCATTATTCTTAAATAAAAATGATTTAAGATTTACTGGCTTAAAAATAATAATATTGTAACAAAATATTTTACATAAATAAATAAAAAATTAAAAGAAAAAAACGAAAGTAGAAAGCAAACCAAAGAAATGTTCACTTTCGAAAAAAAATTTTTTTTTTAAAATTATTTGTTGAAAAAAAATTATGCTTTTGAAACATCATTAGACCCTCTTTTATTTACAATTGTAATTATTTAAAATTATAAAAAGTAGTATTGACTAGTGGTCAAATTCTGTACTTAGTAAATGTAAAAATATTTTTTCTCTATTATTTTCTTTTTTGAAAATAAAATCGACTAAAGATTTATTTGTTTAAAAATGATACTGACTGTCAAAAAAATTATAAAGCAAACAAGTATTGAAAGAATTTTAATAAAAATTTAAAAAAAAATACTTTAAGTACTAATGTTAAATTATTAAAAAGCGTCAAATCATTACTAAACTCTTCATTTAATTTTCAAAAAAATTATTTGTTTTAACTGCACTACGTACATGGTAGGCGGCAATAAGTACGTGTTAGTGAGGGGACTGAAAAGTAACTTTCATTTTTGCGAAAAAACTTCGCTAAGAGTAAAAAAGTCTCCCAATAGTCGCCTATTCCTGAAAATAGTTGCTTTTTTAGCCTTTTCAGGCAAAAAAAGTCGTCTAAGGCCGAAAATAGTAGCAAATAGTCGCATTTTAGTAGTCTGTGGCAACCCTGAATTCGAATCGACCAGGCATCGTTGGGATTCGAACACTTCATTAGGAAGTGACCGCTCTAGCCCCCGAGTCACCGCTTTCTTGTTCTAAATGACTTGTTATTGCCTCTGAAGTAGTCCACAGACAAAGATGCGCAAACCGCTGTGGCATGCTAGTACCATTCCGTGGCAGACTCTTTGATACTTAACTCACAATACGTTACAATTCAATTATATTAAGAAGTAGTATCTTTTGCAACTCTTTCCAGCTGTTTTTTGTGTCTTCATGAACCCTGATAAACAATCCATGTACGTATTTCTCTGTCTGATCTTTCCATTTATACTTATTTAGAAGGAACTGATATTCACTGGAAATATTGGAAACTTATTATTAAAAACTCTTGCTTAATTGTTAAAAATATTCCTTAAACAATAATTAATTTTTCAGAAAGTTTTGGTTATAAATAAGGTCTAGAACAAATGTTACAA